AACATTTGTGTCGACTGGGTGGGGTGTAATGTAACCTTGGTCAGCGAAGTGGTAAAAGGTGTCGAGGTTGTTGCTATCGAGAGGATTGTCTTCGTCGAGTTGAACGGGTACGGAACAGAATGGGAGTGGTCCGGCAGCTTCCGAGGCTTCAGGTACGTCTTCTTCTACCGCGTCAGCTTCGGCAGCACGGTCGGCGAAGGAACGAAGTCCCGAGAAGCCGTCGGTGGGGTCTTGTGTGTTGGCAATGTTGTCCAGGTAATGCTGCAGCGTCAGTCGTTCGTAGAAGATAACATCGCGTGATGCCACCGTGTTTTTGTCTTGTATGTCGAGAATTTTCCACGCGTGAAAATGTTTGGCGATGCCGAGGTGTAGTCCCCACCGAGCTCGTTGTGTGAAGCGTCCTGCTCGGGCTGTGTGGGGTCTGTACTGTACCATGCAGCCGAAAACTCGGAGTAATTTTGTGCTGCCCCTTTTTCTTGTCCACAACAGGTGCGGTGATGCGTTGTTGGGAAGCGATGACGAGGACAGCAGGTTGTGCAGGTGAACTGCATGTGTCATCGCGTCTGGCCACAGTGTGGTAGGCAGCCTCATCCCCAGAAGCAGTTTTCGCATCGTCGTCTGCAAGGTCCGGTTCATGCGTTCTGCGACCCCCTGCTGCTGGTGAGCATAGGGCAGAGACACCAGGCGTCTGATTCCTCTTTCCGCCAGATAGGTCCTGAAGCGTTGTGACTGGTATTCTAGTGCACCGTCTGACTGGAAGCTCTTGAGTTTGGTTCCTGATTCTCGTTCGGCGATGGGAAGCCATGTTGTGAAGGCGTCGAAAGCTTGATCGCGCGTCTTGAGATTGAAGTGCTAGACGTATCTGGTTGCTGCGTCGATGAACGTTATGACGTAGTTGAAGTCGGCTTCGGTGTCTTCTCGAGGCATGTTTAAGATATCGTTGTAGACTTTTTCCATGGGAGCGTATGTAGGTGCGCTTGGGCTGTGATGAGATGGAAAAGGCTGATGGGGAAGATCTGCTTCGGGGCACGTGAAGCACCGTGCTCGTGGTCGTCGAAGTTCTTGGCCGTTCGTCGTTAGGAGGGCGTTGCGTTCTAATACTTCTGCTTGGATTGTCTGTAGTATCGTGCTGTTTGCAGGATGCCCGAGGCGTTGGTGCCAGATGTCGTCGGAAGCGCGATGACCCGGCGAGCGGTGGTATATATCGGCGTTGGAGAAGAACGCGACGACTGTGGCGGGACTTCGACAGACTTCTCGTGTGATGGGCATAAGCTGGTCTGCTTCGGTTGGCGGTCCTCGGATCGCTGGTAGTGGTACTCGGCTGGGTCCTGGTGCTGCTACTGCAGGTGATGGTTTGGTAGGGATACTCGCGGGTACTTGTCTTTCTTGTCTGATGACTGCTAATGCTCGTGTTCTTTTTGCTGCAGGTATGGTGTTGGAGTGCCAGAAGCCGTCACTGTCGAATTCTGGATCAAGATCCGGCGGGTGTGTCCAGGCGGCGAATGATACGATGCCGTCGCTGTCGGCAGTACCGCGGTCGGGGACGAAGTCCAACACGAAGACGCCGGATTTTAGGAGAGCACGACCGATGAAGAGGCCGCCTTTCCCGTGGTAAAGTCGAAACTCATTGGAGTAAGAGTCGCACTCCAGGTGAATCCCTTTGGCCATTAGTTGGCTTACGCTTAGTAGGTTGTATCCCAAGTTGTCGACAATGAGAACTTTGTTGAGCTGAAGTATGACGTTTGTCTCGATGGATTGTAACTGAACCACGCCTTGTCTGTTTGTTTTCAGGTTTTCGTTGTTGGCGACGGTGATGATGACGTCGCGGTTGAGGCGTTTCTCTCGTTGCACGAAGCGTCCCGAAGAGCACATGTGTTGACCGCAGCAGCTGTCCAAGAACCAGGTGTTTTGCCCGGTGGGTTCGGCGTTGGCGACCGCAGCGTATGTTGGATTGACTTGAAGGCCTTGTGAGCGCGGTGGCGGGAGCTCTTCTTCGTCTGGTGCGTAAGTGGGTGGTGATCCGGGTGCGCAGTTGTCGATGTGTACCATGCAATTGATGATGTTTGGTGTCTGTTGTGCAGATGTTGAAGAGCGTCTTGGGGGACTTGCTTGAGTGGAAGCGACTTGTGGATCTGCTGGACGGTAAACGCGAGGGCGGTTGCAGTTGATCTTGGAGTGCCCGGAAGTCTGGCAGTTGTGGCAGAACGGCGGCACGAAGGTAAATCCCCTGTTGTCGCGTTCTTGCTTGCCGCGTCGATTGTAGGTGTTGTCGTTTCTTCGTTGAGTGTAGAAGACTAACTGCTGCTGCTTCCTTGGTTGTCTTTCTTCGAACAGGTCCATCTCCTGTTGTTCAGCGTGAAGCTCGGCGCAGAGGTGCATCTCCGAAATTCTTCCGTGGGCGCGAAGAAGCGATCGTGTGGTTCTCCATTCTGGCCCGAGCCCGGCGAGGACAAGTGTCACGAAGCTTTCTTCAGTGATTGTTCCTCCGCACCGAAGCAGGCGGTCGCGGAGGGTCTGGCATCGACTCATATACTGCATCGCCTTTTCCCCGCTCTTCATTTGTATTGTTGTCAGTTGTTGCATGAGTCTGCTTTGTGTCACGCTGTCGTTTGCTTGGTAGAGGCACTTGAGATGGTGCCATGCGAGTTCCGCGGAGTTTCCATAGCTCCTGTATGTTCTGATGCTCTGCTGTTCTTGTGGTGACAGGTTTCTCAGGAGAACCGTATACGCCAGCAGCGACTGATACGTGAAGATTTCTTGTTCCTTTCCAGTGCCGTTGCTTGGGAATGGCAGGGACCCGTTGAAGTATCCCAGGAGATGCGCAGCCTCCATCAGCAGCTCGAACTCGAAGCTCCAGGTAAAGAAGTCGTGTCCGTTGAACGGTGAGGATGTCTGCAGTTTAATCACGTGTGAAAACTGCGCCTGGAGACTTAAGATTTCGTTTGGTGTTTGTTGTGATGCAGCTGCTGTTGGTTGGGCACGGGGCGGCATGAACTCGAACGTCCCCGGTGAAGAGTGATAAGGCGCAAAGGTAGGCGCTTGATTGTGTCGCCCAAACGATGAGTTGTCGAGGCTCATCGGCGCTAATCCCATGTTTCCTCCGTTGCTCTGTGTTGAATGCGCAGGTGTCCTTGTCTGCTGCTGCTGGTCGAAGTGCGACATGAAGCTGAAGAACCTTTCCATAAGGTTGGGGTCCACGCTTGAAGAGGGAGATGGAGTCACCATCTCTGGTACTCTTCCCATTGTTTCTTGAGCAGTCCCGGTCTCTGTCTGCAGTCCTGAGGTGTGCAGACCAGGGCCTATTTTATCAGAGTAATTTACTCTGTTTCTCTGAAAATCAGAGTCATTTTTGAAAACTACTCTAGGGGCCCTGAGTAAAAAAATAAATTATTTGTTTTACTCTGATTTTATCCGAGTAAACCTTTGTACCACTCTGATGGTCCGTATATAGGGGGTACCGTATATATGTGATTATGTTCCTGTCCCCTATACCTAGTTGTGCCCATGTGTCCCGCAGAACGCGTCATGTGACACGCACCGGCGAAATCATTGTCTGGTCCGTGCTCGAGGTGCTACGGTAAGTGTTAACCAAAATCACTTCGACAATTGTGCTGGAAGGTGCATGAGGGCGCTGATTGGCCCTTCGCCAAATCTAGGGGTCAAGCGAGATGCGCTGTTGGCTGTGTGAGGTCGTGTTGGTTGGGCCCTTCACCGTATTTGGGGCCAACGTGTGCTTGCAGGGGGAGTGCAAGATTTCCCCTCCCCGCCCCTGCTGTGTCGACCTCTCCTGCCAGCTCGATTCCCCCTGCCCCTGCAATCTCGATTCCCCCTGCCCATACAATCTCTCAATACTTCCCATTTGTTCCACCCCCCATCGCCCGATCTTGCCCCGCACACCTAGAGAACCCTGCTGCAGAGAGTTACTTAAAAAAACCCTCTGCATTGTCAGTGTAAATTTTTGAGAAACATAAAAAACCCTGGAAAATCAGAGAAACCATTGGGGAGCACTCTGATTTTCAGAGTGATGAAAAAAGCCACTCCCTAATTTCAGAGTAGTAAAAATCCAAAAGTAGGCCCTGGTGCAGACCAGAGTTGCCGTGTTGAGTTTCTTGGCCGCTGGGTGAGCCTGTAGAGACTTTCTTGCCCTTGCTGTCCATGTCTTGTGATCAATGAAGTCGTTGAATTGAGTTGAGTTGCAGGTTGATGGAGCGCAGTTGTTGGGAGTTTGGTCTCTGACCAGCTCTCATACCATGTTGGGCTGAGAAAAAGTCCTTAGGATCTTTTCAGATACTAAGTCCCAGCTGTGGGTACTTTAGACTTTGAGTAGTGCAGCGGAAGTTGAGACGGTTGAACCCTTGTACTAGTATGTGAGAACAAGTGATTAATTAAAGGAACAAGCATACAGCAATATATAGGAGAAAAGGAAGCGGTTGTAGAATACAGTTACAGGAGCGGTTTATCGAGTCGCACAGCGACTCGATTGCCGCTTCGGTTACCATCCGTGATGTTGTAACGGTCAGTCGTAACCTCCAGTTGCGACCTTTCGAGTATTTTCGCATTCTTTGTCCGCCCCCTCGTGCAACCTCCGTTGACTCGCGTGCTCCCCTGTAATCTTCCTCGAGTACAGTGTTATACTTCAGAAACGCTCAAGTCCTTTGAGATATTTCCAACAACAGCAATATATAGAAAATAGGAAATAAAGCAGTTGTAGAATACAGTTGAAGGAACGGTTATCGAGTCGCACAGCGACTCGATTGTCGTTCGGTTACCACCCTTGCAGTCGCAACTGTCAGTCGCAGCCTCCGGTTGCGACCCTTCGAGTCCCTTCGTCCTTTCGTGTTATTTCGTCCAACCTACTCGTGTAACCTTCGTTGACTCGCGTACTCTATACGACTTTCCTCGAGTGTAGTGTTACACTTCAGAAACGCTTACGTCCTCGAGATATTTCCAACAGTTGTTATGTCATCATGTCTACACTCGAATTTCTCCTACACTGCGGCTTTTCTCAACGGGTGACAGCCCGATCCAGTACCGCTGACACCCCTAAGTAACTACGACCACGTACCACTCTATCCACACCCACCTCACCTCCCGCTGCGCCATAACTCCTCCCTCGCCCCCCGCTCACGCCCCACATCGATCCCGCCTCTTCCCCGTTCCCTCGCCCCAATCATGTCCTTCTCCGCGCGATCCGCCGCAGTCTCCGCCGTGCGCCGCGCTCTCCGACCGCGCGGGGGCGGCGGCGGTGGCAGCTGGTGGGGGCCGGGGCACAAGGACGCGGGGGGGCACCTTTTCGGGGAGCTGCCGCCGCCCGCGGGGCAGGCGCGCGCGTGGGAGGACTGGGAGGCGCCGTACTACCTGACGATGGCGGCGAGCGCCGTGATTCTGACAGTGGGGCTGACGGCGAAGCCCGACACGAGCCTGCACGGGTGGGCGCGCGAGGAGGCGAGGCGGCGGATGCAGGAGGAGGATCAGTAGAGCGAGACGGAGTAGAACGATGACCGTGACTACTTTTTTCAGTGTGGAATTTCGAGATCTGTACGCTGCAGTTTGTCAGCATGACGCGAGACACTGTCGCATCGCCGGAGACCACTGCTTCTCTTAGTATCTCTATTTTCTTCGGAGCATTTTTTAACCATGATGCCGCACAAGGGTATAAGAAGGGTCTTGTACAGTGCTTGCCACCATTTTACACAGAACCAAGACATTTTAGGGTACTCCCGTATGCGTGCCTCGGCTCCTTCTGCCTTTCCGCTTCCCAGTGTTCCAAATTCTTGTGCATTCGATCTTGTGTGTGCAATATCCTCCTCTTCCTCTCCACACCCCTCCCTTCCCCAAACCCCTTCCCTCCTTCCCCACTCCCTCTCTCCCTTCCTCTCACTCTCCCCTCCATCTCCCTCCTCCCTCTCTCTCTCTCTCTCTCTCTCTCTCTCTCTCTCTCTCTCTCTCTCTCTTCTCCTTATCCCTCTCCCTCTCCCCCCCCAATTCCGTCCCTCTCTCTACTCCTCTCACCTTCCTCTGTCACTCACTGTTGCTTGTACTTTCCCTTCCGTCCCTCCGTCCCTCCTCCTCCCCCACTTTCCCCCCCGTCCCTCCTTCCGTTGATCAAGAATGGTTTGTATTCCACTCCTTTCCTTGTCCACCTCCCACATGTGCAACCATACTACGCCTCACATTCCTTTCCGCCCTCTTTTCCGGACAAATAGCAAGGGAATTCTCAAGTGTGTAATGTGGTGCTGTGGCATGCAAAGCAACGTGGCTCAGGTGGCACTTACAATGACAGCTGCATGGGCCAATGGGACTTCCTATTTTCAGGTTCAGCCAGGTGAGACCAACGACGGGTCCGCCAACTCGTCGAGTTTCTGGTCGCCTGGAAGCACCGGACGTCCTTGGAGTGAAGGTGTGTCAATTTATACATACATTCTGCATGTAGCAGTTATAGGCTATAACTGGATATAGGTGTATGTTCTTAGAGAGTACAATCCAGCCCTATATCTTGCTTGTTCTATCTTGTTTCTAATTATTCTAGTATTCTAACATGGTATCATGAGTAGGTTAGGTCCCCCCCACCCGCTTCCGCCCCGCGCCCTAGCCTACCGCGCCTCGCTAGCCCCTATCGCGCCCACACGGCCCCTCTAGTGCCGTAGCTGACCCCTTGCGCCTAGCCGGCCCCTTCGTGCCTAGCTGGCCCCTTCGCGCCTAGCCGGCCCCTATCGCGCCTAGCCAGCCCCTTCGCGCCGTAGCTGGACCCTCGCGCCTAGCTGGCCCCTCGCGCCTAGCCGGCCCCTTCGCGCCTAGCTGGCTCCTCGCGCCGTCGCCAGCCCCTCGCGCTGTCGTTGGCACCTCGCGCCCTATCATGCCCTTCGTGCCGTCGCCGGCCCCTCGCGCCCAACCGGCCCCTCGCGCCTAGCCGCCACCCCTCGCGCCCTCGCCGGCCTCTCGCGCCCTAATCGGCCCCTCACGCCCTAGCCGGCCCCTCACGCCCTAGCCGGCCCCTCACGCCCTAGTCGACCCCTCACACCGTCGCCGGCCCCTCGCACCGTAGCCGGCCCTTCGTGCCCTAGCTGGCTCCTCGTGCCATCGCCAGCCCCCCTCGTGCCTAGCCGGCCCCTCGCGTCCTAGCCGGCCCTTCGCGCCCTAGCCGGCCCTTCGCGCCCAGCTGGCTCCTCACGCACAGCCGGCCCCTCGTGCACTGGCCGGCCCCTAGCGCCCTAGCCGGCCCCTCGCGCCCTAACCGCCCCCCTTCGTGCTAAGCCGGCCCTTCGAGCTTAGCCGGCCCCTTCTAGCGTCACCGCCGGTCCCTCCACCGCCTGTCCGGCCCCTCGTGCGCCTTGGCCCCCCCTTGCGCGCCCTCCGGCTCCTCGCGCGCCAAGTCCCCGTTCCAGAGAGTCCTGCCGCCACGTTGCTGTATCGCCTTGCAATTGAGTACATGTCTCCCTGTGCCGCTGCGCCGCTATGTCCCTGTACCGCTGTGTCCCGGTGCCGCTGCGGTTTCGCGATGGCGGACGCCATGCTACGTGTGGACGCGGAGGGGCACGCGATCGATTTCGCCGCCTGGCTTTGTCGATCTTCGCCGGCACCTCACAGGTCAGCGCCAGGATGTGCACTCCCTAGCTATGCATGTTGATGGCTTGCTTCCCCGCCCCTCCGAGCCTGATCCCCTCCCTGCTGACCCCACCACTACTGAGAGTGAGGCCTTTGCTGCTGCGGCGCTAGCTCGCGCTGTCTGGGATTCTCGCGATGCTGTAGCGCTGCTTGCCATCAGTCATGCGATTCCCTTTTCTGAGTGCCCGCGTTTTTCTGCTGTCGAACGCCATAGACTTCTTAGATGCAGTAGTTACACGATACTCCACGCCTGCCTCCGCCTCAGCTAGACACTTGATCCTCCCCATGCTCTATCCCGATCTCTCTGCTTTCCCCACTGTCGCTGATCTCGCCACTCACCTCCGTGCACTAGAGACTAGCTACCGCGCTGCTAGCACTACTGCCCAGCTCACTGCCTTCCCCCCGCCATTCTGCGCTACCCTGTACCTTATTGCCATGCGCCTGCCTGACCGCTTAGCCACTGCCCGCGACCACTTCCTTAGCCAGCACCCTGGTGACCTCACCTTAACCGCTTTTATCGCTGCCCTTTCTGCGATAGAGACTCGCCAGTGCACTATCGCGCAGTCGAGCGGTGTTGCGGCAGTCCATATCTTTCAGGGCTGTGCTCCCTCCCAGTGCACGTACGCTGACGTTTCCGCTGCGTTCGCTACCGCTGCTCCTGTCGCTGAGACCGCGGCGGCGGCCTTCCCGCAGCAGCAGCGACAGCGTCGGGGTTGTCGCGGCCCCAAGGGAGGGTGTGGTGGTGGTTGTGGCGACAGTGGTTCTGACGAGGGGGCTGGGGTAGGCGTCCAGGAGCAGCAGCCGCCGCAGCAGCAGCCGCAGCAGCAGCAGCAGCTGTGGGCCCACCTCCCACCGGGGTGGCCAGGAGCCCTTAGAGGGGGTGGCGGTCCTCGCAACTCGGCGTCTACCGGCGGCTTCGGTGTCGTGGGCTGCCAGTACCAGCTCCAGACCGGGCCCCTTCGTGGCACTGTGTGCTGCCGTCCGCACCCAACCGCCCGCTGCTTCCGTTGCCTCGACGACCTCTATCGTCGCCGCTTCGGCCCAGCCCCGGACCTCCTTGGGTGGCCCAGAATGCTGCGTCACGGTGTGCCTGTTTTTGACATAGACATGGATCAGATTAGTTATGCCTTGCATTCTCTGTATGCTGACGCTTCTAGTGTGTCCGGATCTTATTACCCCGTGTTCTCTAGCTTAGGCGTAGCACCTGTGTATAGTAAAGAGACCCCTGCTGCATCAGTCGTAGGACCGTTCGCTTTGTCTAGTCTAAGCTCCACACTCGCTCCTCCTTTGTCTGCCGCTACTTCTTCGCTGTCCTCCACACTTGACTCCGGTGCGTCTGCCTGCTTCTTCCACGACCACGCTGCGCTTACGCCGCTTGCCGCGCCTGCCGCTGATGCACTTGCTGACCCCTCCTCTGGTCCTGTCGTTGCTCGCAGCTACACTACCCTTCCCTGTCCAGCGGTCCCCTCGGGTTCCCTTACAGGCCTGCACATCCCCTCGTTCTCCCCGAACTTAGTCGGTGTCGGCTGTCTTCAGGACCTCGGCGTCACCACTACGTTCCCGGATAACGAGTCGTACCCCCGTCTGTAACGAGGCCGCCTCAGGTTCCCCCCTTGCGACATTCCCCCCGGACCCCGTGTTTGGCCTCTTTATGCTGGACACTGCTTCTCCCCCGGGTGGGGCATCCTCCCCAGGTCCTGCGTCTACCCAGGTCGCCGCTGCATGCTCTTGTCGGTCGCTCACTCACCCGTCGCTTCAGTGGCACCACCGCCTAGGTCACCCCGAGCTCCCCCGTCTACGTCAGATGTCCCAGCACGGTCTCGTCCTAGGTCTCCCTGCGTCCCTTCCTGTCCTCCCTCCCTCGCCGGCGCCGACGTGCACGCCCTGCGTCGAGGGCCGGCTCCGCCGTGATCCTCACTCCTCCTCGCTTCGTCCTGCCACCGCACCCCACCAGACTCTCTACCTGGACGTCTGGGATCCAGCCCCCGTCCCTAGACCGCGTCGCGAGCGCTACTTTCTAGTAGTAAGAGTACGACCCCGTTACACCAATATCCCCTCTCCATATTTCCTCTCTATTTCATTCCTCTCTTTATCATGATTCATTTGGTCTTTATCTCATCTCATTTGGTTTTCTATTCCTCATTTTCCATCATCATTTGGTTTATTCTGTTATTATAATCATATCACCGACCAGGCTCGAGATGTACTGACGCGCTATATCTAGCGTAATCCTGCAGTAATCCCTGAAAGCCAATAGCCTTGCGTGGCTATACGTAGGATGATTCTATTTCTAGAAGGGTCTATTCCCTCTGGATAGGATAAACCTGGTTACCTAATGTACTCTGGAAGTATAAAAACGCCTTGTATCAATCGATAGCGCAACTTTTCTTCGACACATTCCATCATGTGATACTTGGTAATTAGAGCCTTTCTCACTCAGCCGCGCTCAGCTAAGCAGGAGCAGCGGTAAAATCTGCTTCGAAGAACCGCCGGGGGTGACTAATTCGGCGCCGATTCTGGTAAGCACCAGCTCCGCGTTTTTCAAATCCACCCCTCCGTGCGTGTTTTGAACAAGATGCCGAACTTCGACAACATCGAGGTTACCTAGCAGCTCTTCGCGAGCATCGCCGCCTTTCAGGAGGAGATGCGAGCCGATCGCGAAGCCTGGCGGAACGAGTTCGAGCGAGTAACTCGACTCGCGGAGGCGCAGCACGACACGGCAACGGCGACGACGCAGCAGTCGCAGCATTTTCTCGAGGCTCCGAAACCGCCCCCACCTGAGACGCTCAATCCGAGCGATCGAAATTCCGACGCCCGTAGATGGATCGATGGCATGGAGATCTACTTTGCAGCCGTCGGATGGAGCTCGCCAGTCTGGGACGGTCAACGCGTACGACTCGCGGCGACACTGATGCGAGGAACGGCACTCGAGTGGATCGGTGGTAACAGTACCTTCATCCACGGCGAAGCCACGTGGCAGTAGTTCTGCACCGACCTGCTGAAACGCTTCGAGCCGATAAATTCGGGTTTCCTTGCCCAAGGAAAAAATTCATCGCCATCGACAGTTCGGGAGTGTAGCGCAGTACACGCAACAGATGGAGGAATTCTATAACCGCATTCCTGACCTGACCGAAGGGGAAAAAGTATAGTCGTGTCTCGTCGGGCTGAAGACCAAAGTCAAACGACAGGTAGCAGCGACAAACTACGCGAGCTACAGTGACGTCGTTTTGGCAGCAGAGCGCTTTGACATGGTCAACGCCGGAACACGACGGGCGCACGTCGGTAGTAAGCGACAGGGCAACCGCTCGGCTCCCACCACGTTCTCCATCCCCATGAAAATCGACAGGTTTGACGGGCGGTCACGTCCAAAAAACACCAATTACACGCGTGATTTTTGCGGGGTGCTAGGCCATCGAATCTTCGACTGCAACAAAATGAAAGCCGCACGCGCAGAGTATCGGGCACGCAACAGTGGCGGAAATTCTTCAGCCAATCAGAAGACAAAAAACGGAATTCGCCAGTGATTGCGGATCTAGCTAGTGAAAAAGAAAAGATTCGGAAGTGGCCGCAGGATTCCGAGAAAATCGACTTCAACGAAGCTGATTCGACGCAAGCATGAGGAAATGATGGGGAAAAATCTCCACCCCACGACCAGTCTTCGCCAGAGAAAATCGCTGAGAAAAAATCTGACTCCGCGAAAAAGGACTCTGCCGAGACGGGAAAACTCCGAAAAGACCCAAGAATTATAAGGGCTCGTCAAAAGTTATCTTATAAAGATGCTTTAATGAAAAATTATAATTTTCGAGGGGCTAGAGCCTTGGAGAAATTTCTGGAGGGACTCTAGAAGAAGCAGAAACTTGTGGAGATCATACCGGTACCAGAAAACTTGGGGACAAAATTACGGAGTGTGGAAAGAAGCCGACCTTTCCACAGAGTCAACGTCCTCTCCCGACACCAGCTCACAACGACTACCCGTTCCCTAGGGAAGACGTTGATGGAGCTGAAGCAGCTCAAGAGGAAGCTGGGGGTCTACAAGAAGGTGCAAAAACCCCGAACTCCTCCGGATGCATCCAGCTCAGCAAATTCGGCATCAACAACACACACAGTCGTCAAGAAAGCTCAGGGTCGTGAGGGAGAGACTTTCTCCAAGCAGCCTCGGCTAGCTGCTAACCCACGAGCAGATAGCAAGAAAAAGGTGTGTACGGAACATTGGGATATGCCCTATGATCCTATTAACGAAACTATGTTTGGGTACTCCGAGCAACGCTCGCCCCTCGTGCTCGAGGTCATCTGCAAAGGACGACGCCTCCAAGCACTTGTGGACAGTGGAGCATCGCACACCGTCTGTGACAAGGCAGTAATCGACCGACTTCGGGAAGAGTACAAGCCTTCGGTATTCTCTGCAACGATGGTAGACAGCAGCAAGTTTCCAGTATACGGCGAAGCAGTGCTACACCTACAAATCGGACCACTACGCTGGAGACCTGCACTCCCCATCACCAACATAAAAGAGCTTGACTTGATCTTCGGGCAAGACTTCCTAAAACGATTCAACCCCGAGATCAACTGGGTAAATCGTACCGCGAGCATCTACAACAGTGGGAGGAGAGTCCAACTACCCAACAGGGACGATACAGGAGATATCCCAGTGGAGACACTCGCAAGATTCGAGAAGGACGCAAAACGAACCGACACTGGGTTCCTGGCGATAGCGACGGATGTGGAAAGCGACGGAGAGAAAACCTTGGAACCTTCACAAAAAGTTAAGGAATTACTAAAGGAGTTCCAAGACATTCTTCCCGACGACCTTCCAAATGAGCTGCCGCCATACCGAACGCACCAACACGAGATCGTGGAAGAACCAGGTTCGAAGCCGACCTTCTGAGCACCATATCGGCTCAGCCCCACGGAGCTAGCCGATATGAAGAAGCAGATCAAGTATCTCCTCGCAAAAGGACTCATCCGACCATCCACTTCGCCATACGGTGCCCAAGTACTCTTCACACCGAAACCGGACGGAAGCCTGCACATGTGCATCGATTACCGAGCTCTCAACAAGCAGACAATCAAGAACAAATACCCAATCCCACGAATCGATGACGTGCTTGACCAGCTTCGGGGAGCCACGGTATTTTCCAAACTGGATATGCGGTCCGGATACCGGCAGATACGAATGGTGGACAACTCCATCCACAAAACTGCATTCCGAACTCGATACGGGTTGTACGAGTATCTGGTAATGCCGTTCGGACTCACCAACGCAACAGCAACGTTCCAAGGTGAAATGAACCATATTCTACGCACACTCTTGGACGAATGCGTGGTGGTGTACCTGGACGACATCCTCATCTACTCGCGCGATATGCAGCAACACGTCCAACACTAGCGACGCATCTTCGACATTCTCCGACGAGAACGATTCTACGTCAATGTCATCCAAGAGCGAATTCGCCCTCGAGAAAGTCCAATTCCTAGGACACATGGTGAGCACTCAAGGAGTTCACATCGACCCCAAGAAGATCAAAGCCGTACACACGTGGAAGACACCCGAGAACGTGAAGGAGTTGCAACAATTCCTAGACTTCACTAACTACTACAATAGGTTCGTGCCACAGTACGCAAAAATCGCAACGCCACTCACGAATCTGCTGAAGAAGAACACGCCCTATAAGTGGGAACCAAAGCATAAAAAAGCCATAGAGCAGTTGAAACAAGGACTCACGTCCGCGCCTATACTCATCTTGCCAGACCCCGAACGCGACTTCGTCATCGAAGCTGATGCCAGTGGCCAGGCAGTGGGAGCAGTCTTAATGCAAGACCAGGGGAATGGACTGCAACCAATCGCCTACCTCAGCAAGAAACTACACGGGGTAGAACTGAACTACCCGATACATGACAAGGAGGCCCTTGCTATTATCATCGCCTTCAAAACGTGGAGATGTTATCTCGAAGGACGACAAACAACCGTCTACACCGACCACTACAGCCTGAAATATTTGAAGACACAACCAAACCTCTCCAGGCGGCAGGTCCGGTGGATTGACTTCCTCGAGACGCACTTCCACTATGACATCGTGTACAAGCCCGGCCACAAAAACAAAGTAGACGCTCTTAGCCAGCCTGCACACGTTGCCGCCATCCAGGTCGAAGGGATGAACCCACTTCTCAAGGGACTCTTCACACACGGGTACGCCATCGACCCCGAAATTCCTTTGGCAGCAAAACGGCAACTGCTACTGTGGGACACAGACATCGCATAGCGGAAGGGATCAACGAAAATATGGGTACCCAATTGCCCACCTTTGCGCCAGTTACTACTCGAAGAATACCACGATGTCCTATATGCGGGACACTTCGGTAGCAACACGTCGCTCACTGGTATTGCAAAGCACTACTACTGGCCCCACATGGCAGCTGACGTCCAACAATTCGTCACTTCGTGTGCTACTTGTCAGCGGATGAAGAGCAGCAAGCAGAAAAAAGCAGGACTTCTATAGCCTCTTCATGTCCCAGAACAGCCATGGCAAATGGTTAGCCTGGATTTCATAACCGGGTTACCAACTACCACAAGCGGTCATAACGCAATCCTCGTCGTCATCAACAAATTCTCCAAATTGGGACACTTCATCCCGACACACACGACAGCACGCACCGAGGAAACAGCACAACTATTCTTTCGCTACATCCTCTCACAACATGGCATTCCAACCACACTCATCTCCGACCGAGACCCCAAGTTCACCAGCAAGTTCTGGAAGGAACTAATGTCTCTACTCGGGACCAAACTCGCCATGTCATTCGCCTACCATCCGCAGACAGATGGACAGACCGAGCACCTCAACCAAATTGTAGAGCAGCTCCTCCGCGCCGCATGCAAAGACGAAATCTCTAAATGGAGATTTGCCTGCGGAGGAAGAACGGCGTCTGCCCGTTTGCAAACGCCGTTCTTCCTCTGCTACAAACGCCGTCCTGGAGTTTGCCTACAAAAACGCCACTCATGCCGCTACTGGACAGACGCCGTTCTTCCTCTGCTACGAACGCCACCTGCTCACGCCGTTCTTCTTCTGTTACCTTCCGCTTAGGGCTACCAACTACTTGGAAGATTCACAATGCCTTCCATGTCCAACTTCTGCAGCCCTATCGCAACCCTAACACGGTCTTCACCGGACGCCAACCACCGCCGCCGCCACCCGTCCTCGTCCACGATGAACCCGAGTACGAGGTCGAGTCCGTGCTCGCACATCGCCGTCGTCGGAATGGCACCGTGGAGTTTCATTCGTTGGAAAGGTTATGATCCTTTTGAGGACACTTGGGTTCCTGAATCCAAGATGGGTAACGCTCGTCGTCCTCTTCGCGAATACCTTGTCAAGCAGGGTGTTAATTATACCACCCAGCTTTGAGGTAGGGAAGTGTGAGAGTACGACCCCGTTACACCAATTTCCCCTTTCCATATTTCCTCTTTTTCATTCCTTTTCTTTTCATGGCTCATTTGGTCTTTATCATATCTCATTTGGTTTCCTATTCCTCATTTTCGATCATCCTTTGGTTTATATTGTTATTATAATTATATCACCGACCAGACTCAGGATGTACTGACACGCTATATCTAGCGTAATCCTGCCGTGATCCCTTTAAGCCAATAGCATCGCGTGGCTATACGCAGGGTGATTCTATTTCTAGATGGGTCTATTCCCTTTGGATAGGATAAACGTGGTTACCTGATGTACTTAGGAAGTATAAAAGTGCCTTGTATCAATCGATAGTGCAACTTTTTCTCGACACATTCAATCCTGTGACACTAGTGCTTGTTGACGACTACATGCGCTACACCACGGTGTTTCCCTTGGAGCAGAAGTCCGACGTGCCCGACGTTCTTATCCCGTGGGTCATAGCTGCGCGCCTCCACCGCGTTCTCCCTGTGCTGTGTCTCCACACTAACCGTGGCGGCGAGTTCGCCTCTGGTCGGCTTGGACAGTTCTGTAGTGCGGAGGGCATCACCCAGTCGTACACCCTTCCGGACTCCCCGCAGCAGAATGGGGTCGCTGAGCGACGCATCGGCTTGGTCATGGAGGTGGCTCGTACCTCCATGATTCATGCAGGTGCACCCCATTTTCTATGGTCGTTCGCTGTTCGCTACGCCGCTCACCAGCTTAATCTCTGGCCGCGCTCCCAGCGGCCGCAGGTTTAGCCGACCCTTCTTTGGACCGGATTCCCTGGTGACGCATCCGCGTTCCACGTCTGGGGCTGCCTCACTGACGTTCGTGCCTCTGGCCCGGACAAGCTCACTACCCGTACTGTCCCCTGTGTCTTCCTCGATTTCCCCCTGGACTCCTCTGACTGGCACTTATACCACCCGCGGTCTCACCGCTTCTTTCACTCTCGTGACGCCACGTTCGACGAGTCTATCTCCTTTTACCACCGCTTTCCCCACCGAGGTCTACCAGTTTCCCCTCCCCTGTTTTTGGTTCCCACTCCCCCGGTAGCCCTTGCTCACCTTCCTCCCCGTCCTGCTCTGTCTGGTGTGTCTTACGTCACTCCCAGCCCGTCGGTTGTCCTGGTCGAGGAGTCGGCTGACTCTGGTGGCCCTGCGGCGCAGTTCTTGCCGCATGTCTCTCCCCCAGTGTCTCTTCCTCCGCCGTCGCAGTCGTCGCTGCCGCTGTAGCAGCAGGCGTCCGAGGGAGGAAGGGTAGGGAGTGATGCAGGAAGACCGAAGGCAAGAGTGTGATGGGACATGTGACGCAAAAGCGGGAGTGTGGGGTGACCTAGGCGGTGGTGCCACAGCAGCGACGGGTGAGTGAGCGACCGACATGAGCAAGCCGCAGTGACCTGGGTCGACGCAGGCACCTGGGGGGACGCCCTCACCAAGGGGGACGCAATGTCAAGCGTAAACAGGCAAGACACAGGGTCCCGGGGGAACGTGGTCAGAGGAGCACCAGTGGCGGCCTCGGCACAGACCGCGTACCGCGTAGTGGTGACGCTGAGGTCCTGAAGATAGTCGACACCAACTAGGTTCCTCGAGAACAAAGTGATGTGCAGGCCTGTAAGAGAACCTAAAGGGACTGCTGGACAGGGAAGGGTAGTGGAACTACGGGCAACTACCGGACCTAAGGAGGGGTCAGCAAGCGCGACAGCGGCAGGGGCGGCAAGAGGCGTGAGCGAAGTGTGGTTGCGGAAGAAGCAGGCAGACACTCTAGAGTTGAGGGTGAAGGAGAGCGAAGTAGTAGCATCCACTGGCAGAGGGGCTAGCATGGAGCCTAGGCTAAACAAGGCAGGGGGTCCTTCGCCTGTCGCAGCAGGGGAACCTAGACTACACACAGGGGACACACATATGCTAGGCAATACCTGGCAATAGGGTCCAGTCACACTAGATTCATCAGCATACATGGCATATAAAGCAGACCAAATCTGATCCATGTTCATCTCAAAGACAGGCACACGACGACGCACCAGGCTGTACCTGTCGGGGGGGGTCCGCTATGGGGCTGAAGCGGAGATGGAAGAGGTCGTCGAGGCGGCGGTAGCAGCGTGCGGCGGTGTGACCGGGGCAGTCACAAACGGTGCCGCGGCGGGGGTTGGACTGAAGCTGGTACTGGCAGGTGACCACACTGAAGCCGCCACCCGACACCGTGCTGCTGCTGAGGCTGCTGCTGCTGCTGCTGCTGATGAGGGTGCTGCTCCGGGGGACCAGCCCCGGTCCCCTCGTCTGCACCACCGTCCCCTCCAACCACCTCCGCCACCCCCGCCACCCCTCCCACCACCACGCCCCCCCCGGGCCCGACGTCCCCTAACCTGACGAGACTACGCTGAGGCTGCCGTAGCGGTCTCAGCAACAGCGGCAAAGAAGTCAAAGTAAGTGCACTAAGAGGGAGCACAGCCCTGGAAGATAGGGACTGGGTCAGTACCGCTCGACTGAGCGATATTGCGCTGGCGGGTCTCTATCGCGGTCAGGATAGTGACAAAGTCAGTGAAGGTGAGGTCAGCAGGGTGGAGGGCAAGGAAGTGGTCGCGGGCAGTGGCTAGCGGCCAGGAAGGCACGTGGCAAGGAAGTAGAGGGTGGTGCCAAGGGGGGGAGGCAGTACAACGAGCTGAGCCTCAGTGCTAGCAGCATAGCAGCTAATCTCTAGTGCGCTCAAGTGAGTGGCAAGATCAGCGACAGTGGGAAAAGACGCAAGGTCAGGGAAGAGCAGGGGGAGGAGGAGACGACCGGCAAAGGCGGAGGAGGGAGTAGAATAGCGTGAAATAACATCATCTAAGTACGCCTGCGCAGTCTCCAGGGCCTGGTAGCGGGGGCGTTCAGACAGGGGGAGGGCGCGATTGATAGCAAGCTGCGCAACTGCGTCACGCGACTCCTAGACAGAGCGAGCGTTCTCAGCAGCTGCAAAGGCCTCACGCTCAGCGGGCGTGGGGGCGTCAGAGAGGGCACCAGACGGGTCAGGGTAGGGGATCTTACCGTCGACGTGAATGGCCAGAGACTGGCCATCCTGGCGCTGTCCCGTCAACGAGCGGCGGAGGTCGGCGAGCCATGCCTCAAATTCGATCGCCCGACCCTCCGCGTCCAGGCGGAGCATAGCGTCCGCCATCACCACGGCTGCAGCAGCTGACCGCCGCTAGGGGAGGAGGAGGAGAGGGCGGTGGAGAGCTGCGGTGGAGACGGCCGGCGGGAGCGCCAACACAGAAGGTGGAACCAAGGCCGGCAGGTCGGGGCGGCACAGCAGCATGGCGGCTCGGCAACGCGGCGGCTCGGCTTCTCGGCGGCTCGGCGGCACGACGGCTCGGCTACTCGGTGGCTCGGCTACTCGGTGGCTCGGCAGCTCGGAGGCACGGCGGTGCAGCGCAATGCGGCTCGAGGTTGCAGCGGCTCGGCGACGCGGCTCGGCGGCGTGGCGCAGCGGCTCGACAGCTCAGCACAGTGCCGTATGGCAGGGCTGGCGCGGCGTGACGGGGCAGGCGAGGAGTGACGAGGCCGGCGCGGCGTGACGAGGCTGGCACGGCGTGACGGGGCCGGCGCGACGTGACGGGGCTGGCGCGGCGTGACGGGGCTGACGCGGCGTGACGGGGCCGGCGCGGTCTAGCGGGGCCGGCGCGGCGATGTTGGTCGATGTTGGTCAGCGTGTTAACAGCCGTTGATGCGGTCCATCGGACGGCATACAGCTGCGCTCCCCAAATCATCGCTCGCTTGATAGTCACAGCGCTGACCGTCGACGTGGCCGAGACTTGACTGCTCCACTTGGGCAGGCGTCGCCACTCGCCACTCCACTTGATGCCACAATCGCCCGTCCGCCAGTCGATGTTTGGGTTGTACTCTCGTAGCCAATTGCGTCCCAGCAACATGTCGCACCCGTCCCGAGTTGTCGCCAGCATTTTCGTCGTAGAACTGAAATTTTCGCCACAGCTGACTGGCTCGTGAGGCACGCGTTCCCGATTACTAGTGGGGTGCCGTCAACCAACCTCGCGTCGATTTCGGGCATGCAGCGCTCTAGCTGCAATCAAAGTTTCTTTGATTTTGTCACATCCATTATACTGTCTCGACCCACCATCAACAAATATTTTGATGCAGGTGTCGCCAACTCTTCATTCAACCAGCACAGGGTGATCAACCGGTTTACCCCCCTTATTCAGGAAGGAATGGTCGATAGCCCAAATCGGCACTATGACATGGTGGGAGTGTTGGTGTTTGGGCGACGCAGTCAAGTCACTAGGTGGTGTTGGTGCATATTCATTTGCACATCATCCTGTCGTCTGTTCGCATCATTTCGTTTGCATGTGTTTTGTGTGCTGCGTTGTTTGTATGGTTTGTTGGGTTTGCATGTCTTTGCATGTTCATCTTGTGCTTGTGCAGATGTGCTTGGATTGTGCATGACATCGAGCACATTCCAACGAGCCAAGAATTGTTGGAATCGGAGCACATATGAAGAAGTTACGAATAAATGTTTGATGGATTTGTTACAACTCATTGGAAGTCCTTGTCAGCTGCTACACCAAAGTTGGAGAGCCCTATAACGAGGAGGGACCAGCATGTGTGGGACTTTTGTCCCCACCTTGCAGCTGCAGCATTTGGGGTTTGGAGGCCAACCTGGCACAGTGTGAATTTTGTCTTGCCAGGCTGGCTGAACCTGAGGATGGGGAGTCAAAACTTTGACTCTTGTCATGTTCTTGACCATGGGCCTCCAGGGTCCTTCCCTTTCATCCTTCCCTTCCTACCCCACCTTCCAACTGTGCTTCAATGCCTTTTCTATCATGCCTCTGATCTTGTAAGCTTCAATTATAGTGACTCTGAGGACTGTCAACTTCTCCTAGGGCAGATTACCCCCCAGTGCGCCAAACGCCATAGCTCACTCGTTAAGCTACAGAATCGAGTGATTCAACTTTCATTGGGAAGCTGACGCTGCCAGCTACAACATATCCGAGTTTCAAATCGTTTCACCGATTGGAGTTTTTGATATAGCTATTCGAAGGTCGCGAGTTTTCTGGGCGTCATAACGAAGTGCTGCAGAAATTTCCAAGGAGCCATTGAATCATCTGCTTATAGCCTTCTCTAACCAACAAGTGGTATCAGAGCCTATTATCACGCATTTGGGACCTAAAATACGATGGGAGATAAAGAGGACTCTGGTGGAGGTGATACTTCAGTCCAAGGAGGCAGCTCAACCCAAGATTCTGGCATTGCAGCGCAAAGGGCAGCGCGTACAAGCCAGGGGTCACTGCTTAAGGAGGTGCTGAAGAACTTCACCATTGAGAAGTTCTCTGGAGATGGCTATGATGATTGGGCATGGAAGATGCAGCTCTACTTTCGACAAATTGGCCTCTTGAAGCTCATGATTGGAACGGAGCCAAGGCCAAAGGAAATGACAGAGCAAGCGGACTGGGATGAACGTTCATCTGCTGGGTATTATCTACTGTCACAAAGCTTGGAGCTGAACCAGAGGCATCACATCATGCATCTGCTACCGGAAATTGATTGTGGGCCCAAGGCATGGGCAGTGCTCAAGGACCTGCACGCTCCGACATCGGTTGCCGCTTCTCTCATGCTGGATCGGGAGCTGTCCATGCTGCGGTTGAGCGAGAATGAACCTGTGCAGCCCGTACTGGACAAGATGAGGGAACTCTACGCGAAATTGGCGATTGCTGGCATCACGTACCCAGAGCAGACAAAGTGTCTCAAGATGCTCAGCCTGCTGCCGGAGTCTTGGCTGCAATTTATAAGCGGACTCAGCTTGCCACAAAACCAAAGTCAATGGACATTGGAGTGGATTCGCACCAAGATTCTGGAAGAAGATTTTCGTCGCTATACACTGCGCGGAGGTGATGACAGCACCAGCGGCTATGCCATGCAAGGGACATGGAGGGATCGAGGGCGTGGCAATCGCGGTCGCTCTTACCACAGCCAAGGTGGTCGCGGGACTTGGAACCAGCGGGGGCGTGGTGGCGCTGGTGCAAGAGGAAGAGGTGGTCACTCCAACAATGACAACAGTGAACCACGCTTGAGGGGAGAGTGCTGGTATTGCAAGGAAGAAGGGCATCCATGGTTTCGCTGCCCTACCAAGCCCGACTGGTGGACCCCTTGGAACCAATCGCAGAAGGGGAATGGAGGAAAGCAACCACATGGAGGTGCCAACATGGTAGCTGATCCTGCTGAAGAAACCTCCAAGGATGACAGAGGAATGGGAAATGAGGAGAGGAATGCTGGACAGTTCTACCATGTGTGTGACAAAGATGACAGTGGCACAGCTGTTGCAAGGGCTGGAGAGGAATTGCACCCGCTTGACATGTGGGTCATGGACTCTGGTGCTGCATGGACAATGACACCACGCAAGGACTTGCTGGATGCTGTGCGAGCGCCTCCTATCTCTGAAGTGCGCTCAGCATCCGGACATGCAGTGAAGGTCGCTGGAGTTGGTCGAGCTGCATTCAGAGCACCTGATGGTGGACTGGTTGTGCTGAAGGACGTGTTACTCGTACCGGGGCTGAAGGCCAATCTGATATCGCTGCGCAAGCTAGGCCAGGCCGGAGTCAGCACCACCACCAATGGATCCAAAACATTCAAGGGGCTGCGAGGAGATCGTGTGTTATGGGATTTACACGAAAGCAGAGATGTCTTCAGATCCATGTGGCAGATCCCTGCACTGATATGGGAATCAACAAAGAAGGAGTTGGGAGAAGTAAAGGCGGGATCTGGAGTCCAGGGGGAGTGTAATGCAGTTAGTGCTGCAGGAGTGACGGTTTCTGCAAGGTCGGGGGAGACTGATTGGGAAACCGCACACAGGCGTCTAGGGCATGTGGCTATGCCATTGCTGCAGCAACTGCATAAGGAAGAAGCAGTAAAGGGGCTGAAGCTTTCTGGGCAACCAAATGATACCAAGTGCGAGACGTGTCTGCTGAGCAAGTTCACACGGTTCCCCTTTTACGGCGTAGCTGGGAAAAGCAAGGCAGCACTGGAACTGGTGCACATGGACCTGGTAGGACCTTTTCCAGTCCGAGGAAGTAAGGGGGAAAGGTACTTCCTGACAATAGTTGATGACTGGAGTCGGCTGATGTGGGCATACCCGTTGAAGCAGAAGGATCATGCTGCCTCAACAATACGAGATGATTGGCTGCCGTTCGTCGAGCGACAATCTGGGCACCCATGCAAGAGCATCAGAACCGACCGAGGTGGAGAGTTTCTAGGAGGAGATCTGACTGCGTGGCTCAAGAAACAAGGCATTGAGCATCAGCTAACGACGTCCTATACCCCTCAGTCAAATGGCGTTGCTGAGAGGGCTAATAGGACCATCCTGGAAACTGCGCGAGCGCTGCTGATCGAATCAGGGCTGGGGAACTCCATGTGGCCTCATGCGGTGAGGCATGCTACAGTGGCAAGGAACCGCGTACTCACAAAGGTGGCTGATGATATGTGGGTGCCGCTGGAGAGGTGGCTTGGAAAGAAGCCTCCAGTGGACATGCTTCGAGTGTTCGGATGCATGGCAGTGGCGCATGTCCCTAAACCGTACAGGACAAAGCTTGGAGCATCTGCACTTTGGTGTGTGCACCTTGGGCTTGCGGCAGAGAGCAAGGGGTGGCTACTCTGGGAGCCCTCAAAGAATGTGCTGTTTGACAGTCGGGATGTCAAATTTGTGGAGAACATCATGTATGGCAAGTGGGAGAAGCAGCCGGAGGCAAGGGTCACCCAGCAGCTGGAAGAGATCACTATGCACTTCGATCTGTCCGAACCTGAGGACAGCGAAGTCACTGCGCCAACGGCAAGCGGTACTGATGAAGGAAGCAATGAGGATATTGCAACTGATGCTGAAGTCAAGGATCCGGAGCAGCAGCAGCAAGAGGCTTCCAAAACACGAAGTCTGCCAAAGCGAAGGAAACAGATTGGTGGGGGGACAAAGGATTGGGTGAAGGTGAAAGAATGGGTAAGTCCAACCATCTACCCTGCACGTACCAGAATGGCAACGAGAAAGCTGCTGAGCTCCACAAGTGGAGGAGCCACAACTGAGCAGCAGGAACAGGCTCAAGGCGAAGATGCGGTGCTGTTATTGGGTGATGACCAAGAGTCAGATGACGAGGAGCCGGCATACTGCTTTTACGCACCAATACAACCTCCGAGCATGGATCATGCGCTAGCCGGGCCTCAACGGGGGAAGTGGCTCGTTTCAAGAGATGCAGAGTACAACAGCCAGATGGAGAATCACACATGGGACCTGGTGTACTTGCCAAATGGGAAGAAGGCAATACAGTGCAAGTGGCTGGCAAAAATCAAGACGGATGAGAAAGGAGAGCCATCAGTTTACAAGAGCAGGCTGGTGGCAAAGGGGTTTCAGCAGAAAGAGAAGGAAGATTACAAAGAAGTGTTTGCCCCAACTGCTAAGTCTCCAACGCTACGTGTGCTGCTGGCGGTAGCTGCTGTGCGCAAATGGAAGGTGAAGCAGATGGACATCGTAACCGCTTTTCTGTACGGCATTGTGGAAGAGGAGGTGTACATGGTTCAACCACCTGGCTATGAGGATGGAACCGGTCGTGTCTGCAAACTTAACAAGGCCATCTATGGCTTGAAGCAGGCCCCGAGATGCTGGTACAACAGGCTGGCCAGTGCACTAGAAGGGATTGGATTTCGTGCGAGTGCATGCGACGAGAGCCTATTCCTGATGGGAGAGGGGGAGTCACTTGTGCTTCTGCTGGTGTACGTGGATGACATCCTGCTCTTCAGCAGCAGTGACAAGGAGATCGATGGGGTGCAGCGGAAGCTCACAGAGCAGTTCAAGTGCAAGTCACTTGGAGAGGCAAGGTACTACCTGGGAATGCACATTGAGCGGGATACTGAACGTGGCTGGCTCAAACTGCATCAGGGACAGTACATCAACACCTTGGCTGAGAAGTACTCTCTGCAGGAAGAACGGGAAGTGGTCACACCTTTGCCTTCCGAGTTCAAACTCATAAAGACAGCTGAAGGAGAAGGAGTTGAGAGTGAAGACCAGAGGCAATTCCAATCCATGGTCGGGAGCCTACTCTACGCTGCTGTGCATACTCGGCCGGACATCAGCTATGCTGTGGGACAGCTGGCTCGAGTAGTGCAAAATCCAACAGAAGAGCAGTGTGGTGCAGCGGAGAGAGTGGTGCGCTACCTCAAATCATACCCTACAGTGGGAGTACAGTATTCAGCCTCTGCTCAACTCAGTCAAAAAGGAGTTGAAGTCCTCAAAGAGAAGGGGGAGCAGCTCGGAGAAGGAAAGGTGTTCCTTTCCTGTTTTGCTGATGCCACGTGGGCTTCTGAGCATGAGGATTCATCATCAGTTGGTGGATACATCTGCATGGTGGGAGGTGGGCCTGTAAGTTGGAGGTCCAAGAAGCAGTCTGAGACGGCACTATCTTCAGTGGAATCTGAGTACATGGCGATGTTTCATGCGGCAAAAGAAATCATCTGGCTAAGCAGGCTCTTGAAGGAGATCGGCCATGAACAGATTTGTGCGACACCTCTGTTCAGTGATAGCAAGGGAGCCATTGCCATGGCACGCAATGCAGTTCTTCATGGGTTGAACAAGCACATGAGGATCAAGTGGCATTGGCTGCGGAAGGAGGTGAAGCTTGGGACACTGGATCCGATCTACGTGAAAACTCAGCAACAGCCAGCCGACTTCCTTACCAAGCGGCTAGCTGAAGAGCCACACTGGCGCTGTGCGAGGATGGCGGGAATGTCCTTGAACTAGAGACGGCGAAACAAGCCGACAGTCTGAGGGGGAGTGTGTTGGTGCATATTCATTTGCACGTCATCCTGTTGTCTGTTCGCATCATTTCGTTTGCATGTGTTTTGTGTGCTGCGTTGTTTGTATGGTTTGTTGGGTTTGCATGTCTTTGCATGTTCATCTTGTGCTTGTGCAGATGTGCTTGGATTGTGCATGACATCGAGCACATTCCAACGAGCCAAGAATTGTTGGAATCGGAGCACATATGAAGAAGTTACGAAGAAATGTTTGATGGATTTGTTACAACTCATTGGAAGTCCTTGTCAGCTGCTACACCAAAGTTGGAGAGCCCTATAACGAGGAGGGACCAGTATGTGTGGGAATTTTGTCCTCACCTTGCAGCTGCAGCATTTGGGGGTTGGAGGCCAACCTGGCACAGTGTGAATTTTGTCTTGCCAGGCTGGCTGAACCTGAGGATGGGGAGTCAAAACTTTGACTCTTGTCATGTTCTTGACCATGGGCCTCCAGGGTCCTTCCCTTTCATCCTTCCCTTCCTACCCCACCTTCCAACTGTGCTTCAATGCCTTTTCTATCAGGCCTCTGAACTTGTAAGCTTCAATTATAGTGACTCTGAGGACTGTCAACTTCTCCTAGGGCAGATTACCCCCCAGTGCGCCAAACGCCATAGCTCACTCGTTAAGCTACGGAATCGAGTGATTCAACTTTCATTGGGAAGCTGACGCTGCCAGCTACAACATATCCGAGTTTCAAATCGTTTCACCGATTGGAGTTTTTGATATAGCTATTCGAAGGTCGCGAGTTTTCTGGGCGTCATAACGAAGTGCTGCAGAAATTTCCAAGGAGCCATTGAATCATCTGCTTATAGCCTTCTCTAACCAACAGGTGGCCCATCAGCAACTCACTGTCTCCATTTCCCAACTGCTTCCCGTCATTAGCTAAGTTCTTCTTCAGCTGCGGGCAGTCCTTCACCATGCGACCCGGCTGGTTGCAGTTGAAACATCATCCGGAAAATACCCAGGCTGCAAATACATTCACGCCGTTGATTGATGTGTGTTGGGGCTGGCCTCGAAAATGGTTTCCCTCCCGGAAACCCACCCTCGCGAGTCCACGTCTTGCGTCCAGTGCATCCACGATTCGGATAATTTCGTTGAATGTTGCTGGGGTTCGCATGATGATCTCTTGCTGAATCTCTGGCTGGAGACCACCCACGTAGCGATAGATTCTCTCGTCTTCGCTAAGCCCTCCGATTTGGTCGCATAGCGCCAAGAAGAAAGCCGTGTATTATTGGACAGAGCCCAACTGTCTCCACATCCGAAGCCTTGTGCGAGCGTTTTCGCGCATGGATATGTGCTCGAAGTGGCTCTTCAATGCTTCGCCCCACGCTTTCCACGTGCGGATCGTGGCCAGCCCAAAGATCGGTTCTGCCTGTGCCGTTGATGAACCGTGCTCCCCACCTACAGCCCGTTGATTCCCTGCCTGGGCTCCTCCCTCATCCAGATGCATGCGCCACCAGTCGAGTGCCGGTCCCCTCAGCAGCGACACAGCAAAGTTGACACGTGAAGCATTGTCATTGATACTTGCTGTTGTGAAGAAGATCTCCATGGCGAACAACCAACCGCTCACTGTAGTCGATCTGTCGGTCAGTTTGAATGGCGGTGGCATAGATGGTTTGACTTTAATGGTTGCCCGCGGATCGCTCTGGGCTTCCTCAACTTCTTCAGGTGTCGCCGACGCCCTCGCTTTGCTCGCAGCATCTTCGTCTCGGGTAACAGGCCGCCCCTGACGCGTTGTTGAAGCTGGGCGTTGTCTCGTCACTTCGCCAGGGACACCCCTGACCGCCCCTGACAACGCGTTGTTGAACTTGGCACCCCTGACCGCCACGTCTGGCCGCCCCTGGCACAGGCTTCCCAGTGTCTCGAACTTTTCGGCGAGTTGTTGAAACTGGGCTTGCAGTGTCGTCATTGTAGCCACCCTAGCTTGCAACTCGTAAAACTCCTCTTGAGTTACATTCCTAACATTACGGCGGGCAGAGGTTTCCGGCGTGGTAGGCATGCTGGAAATTTTACCTGACAGATTTAAGGGTGCACACGCTTCTAGTTGGAGGAGCTTTAACGAGCTCACCTACCAACCGCAGGCCAACCCCCTATTCTGTCAGGTCCTCTCCCGATATAAACGGACTACTCTACGGACGACTAAACAAGCAGGAACGGGGCTCTGATACCAGCTGTTATGAATTAATATGAGTAATAACAGGTAGTGTAATAAAGGAATCGTGATTCAAGAGTGTCGATACAAATGAGGGCCTAGGCATTTATAGGCACGAAAGGAGCACGTCGAAAATTCCGATGACTCGAGACGAATGTCGCGACGATAAAGTGCGCGTAGTGCAGGCACGTTAATACTAGGACCTTGATCCGCGTGTGCGGATAGGGCGCTCTGATACCATGTAAGAAATTGAGCTGAAATCATTAATTACGTAAGGAGCTTAAGGCTCTATAAGTACATGGCAAGGTGAGAGAGAATGGATGAAGGGGGAATCGGGGGGAATTCCCATTGGGATCTTCGGAATCTCCAATTGGGTAATTAGAGATTGGGGGGATCACAATTGGGTGAGGTTGGGATTTGTGAGTACACCGCAACCCACTAGAACATTCCTAACCTAATCTATTATATAAAAGTACAAATACAAAAATGGGATTTGCAATCTATTTCTAACACAGGCTCGGCCAACTTCTTCGGTCCCGAACCACGTTGCGAACCCGAACCTAGACGCTCGGCGCTTCTGTAGCTTTCGCCAACCGGACCGCCCCAACCTATTCGCGTTGTTCTTGGCCTAGGCATTTATAGAACTACCTGGGGATGGAGATCACTCATGACCGCCAGGCTTGCACGATCACCCTCTCCCAGGAGTCCTACATCGACAACCTTCTCAAGCGGTTTGACATGGACTACAGTAACTCTGTCTCCACTCCACTCCCATTACCCGGTTAGTGTCCTCTCTTGGTACGTCTCCCCCGGACGCTACACTGCCTCGCATTGGTCTGCAGCCAAGAGGGTCCTCCGCTATCTACAAGCCACCAAGTCTCACATCCTCACTCTTGGTGGTACCCCTCTAGTCAAGCTCGAGGGATACACAGACTCCTTATGGGCCGATGACCAGACTGACAGACGCTCCTCCCAAGGGTACTGCTTCACCCTTGGTAGCGGAGTCATCAGCTGGCGCTCCACTCGGTCCTCTGCAGTCTCCTTGTCGTCCTGCGAGGCCGAGCTCTACGCAGGCACAATGGCTGCTCAAGAGGCACGCTGGCTCTCCTTTCTCCTCGCTCTGTTAGGCAACCCCCAGCAGTCTCCCATCCTGTGGTGTGACAACCAGAGCGCCATTCACCTCACCAAGGATCCTGTGTTCCACTCTCGTACCAAGCACATCGAGCTTTGTCATTTCTTCATCCAATATCTTGTTCAGAGTGACCAGCTGATGGTACGGTACATCGCCTCAGATTGCAACCTTGCCGACCTCTTTACCAAGGCTCTCAGCAAGGGTTACCACCATCGCCTTCTTTGTTCCATGGGGCTATGTGCTCCTTGACTGGGTTTGCAGTCTATGGGGGTGTGTTAGAAATAGATTGCAAATCCCACTTTTGTATTTGGACCTTGATATCCTAGTTTAGGTTATGAATTTTTTAGTGGGGTGTACTCACAAATCCCAACATCACCCAATTGTGATCCCCCCAATCTCCAATTGCCCAATTCGAGATTCCGGAGATCCCAATGGGGATTCCCTCCGATTCCCCCCTTCATCTATCCTCTCTCACCTTGACATGTACGTATAGAGCCTTGGGCTCCTTACCTAATTAATCATTTCAACTCTATTTCTTACAGGGGTCGCCAAAAACCGAGAATTGGTTCGACAGAAACCCAACCAACCCCAACTTGCAACAATGCGACAAACTCAACAACTAGGCATGCGACTAGGATCCCTGCGACAGAGCATTTGTTTAGCAACCCAGGGAAATACAGACCTTGAGAGGAAGGCCCGCACCCCAGGCACATGAGCATGCTGTAAGAAATAGAGTTGAAATGATTGATTAGGTAAGGAGCCCAAGGCTCTATAAGTACATGGCAAGGTGAGAGTGAATGGATGAAGGGGGAATTGGAGGGAATCCCCATTGGGATCTCCGGAATCTCCAATTGGGTAATTGGAGATTGTGGGGATCACAATTGGGTGAGGTTGGGATTTGTGAGTACACCCCAACCTACTAGAACATTCCTAACCTAAACTAGGATATAAAATTACAAATACAAAAGTGGTATTTGCAGTCTATTTCTAACACACCCCCATAGACTGCAAACCCGATCAAGGAGCACATAGCCCCATGGAACGGAGAAGGCGATGGTGGTCAGCCTTGCCGAGAGCCTTGGTAAAGAGGTCGGCGAGGTTGCAATCTGAGGCGATGTACCGTACCGTCAGCTGGTCACTCTGAACAAGATCTCGGATGAAGAAATGACGAAGTTCGATGTGCTTGGTGCGAGAGTGGAACACAGGATCCTTGGTGAGGTGAATAGCACTCTGGTTGTCACACCACAGGGTAGGCGACTGCTGGGGGCAGCCTAACTCAGCGAGGAGAAAGGAGAGCCAGCGTGCCTCTTGAGCAGCCATTGTGCCCGCGTAGAGCTCGGCCTCGCAGGACGACAGGGAGATTGCAGAGGACCGAGTGGAGCGCCAGCTGATAACTCCGCTACCAAGGGTGAAGCAGTACCCTTGGGAGGAGCGTCTGTCAGTCTGGTCATCGGCCCATAAGGAGTCTGTGTATCCCTCGAGCTTGACTGGAGAGGTACCACCAAGAGTGAGGATGTGAGACTTGGTGGCTTGTAGATAGCGGAGGACCCTCTTGGCTGCAGACCAATGCGAGGCAGTGTAGCGTCCGGGGGAGACGTACCGAGAGAGGACACTAACCGGGTAAGCCAACTCTGGTCGAGTGCACATTATGGCATACATGAGTGAACGGACTAGCTCAGGGTACGGGTCCTTGCAGGCGTCAGGAGACGGAACTGGAGGGGCCGTGAGCTGATGCTGTAGTGGGAGTGGAGTGGAGACAGAGTTACTGGAGTCCATGTCGAACTGCTTGAGAAGGTTGTCGATGTAGGACTCCTGGGAGAGGGTGATCATGCAAGCTTGGCGGTCACGAGTGAACTCCATCCCCAGGTAGTTCTTGAGGTCACCAAGATCCTTCATGAGAAGGGCGGAGCTGAGAGCAGACTGGACAGCTGCCATGTCGGCTGGATCTGTGGCGGCTAGAATGAAGTCGTCGACGTAGACGAGGATGTAGAAGGGCTCGGAGGAGTGACGAACGAAGAGACTGGAATCTGAGGCAGAGGGATGGAAGTCAAGTGCGAGGAGGACTTCCTTCACCTTGTTGTGCCACTCACGAGGAGCCTGGTTGAGGCCATACACTGGGCGCTTCAGCTTCCACACTGTGCTGGCAGGGTAAGTGCCAGGAAACCCCGGTGGGTGTTCCATGTGAACATCCCCCTTGAGCTGGCCTTGGAGAAAGGCGGAGGAGGCGTCCATGGACTTGATCTCGAAGTTGCCGCGAGCGGCTATATCAAG